ACCTCGCTCAGTGTTTTAACCATGATAAGGGCGAGGGAGGGTGTGCAGAGCATCCATGAGCCCCGCAAGCCGACCTCCGGAGCCTCCTGATTTGCAGATTAGTACAAAATCATGAGAGTTCGGAGATCAGTTCGGCTTATGAATTCAGTTTGGATTATGGATGCTTTGCACACCCTCACTATATGGGTTTGTACTTTAAAAATGAAATTGATGTCTAAAAATAAAGTTTATTTAAGTTCTTAAGATTATTGAAATGTTGAAAATCCAATGACATAATTTATTTTTCTAGACTGAAGGACACATATAACAGAAATGGTAACATTCCTGATCTCTGGAGAGACGTACAAGAAGCACACTTTTTCAGTAAGATGGGATAGGGAGTAATTCTGGATGGGAGGAATACCAAAGAAATCGTAAATTAAACTACTGTGATAAATCATATATTATGTGATAGACTAAGTCAATTGTGCAATTATTGAACGTAAATTTTTAATATCATTACTTTTAGGCATTTTTTTTCAGAAGAAAAAAAGAACTGGGGAACATTGTAGCAGGGTTAACTTGGTTGAGCAAATGAATATACAGGTAGATACATTTATATTCCTGAAACTCNCCCCCCTTCCTGAAAATTATTTTGTTCGGGTATTTTCGTTGGGTCATGCATGGGGAAATAATAACTATTTAAAATATATTACATTAAAAGCTAGCAATTTGGGGTTTGATGTTTACCCAAACCTTCAGAAATCATTAACCCCCTTATTTTTTTTTTGGGGGGGGGGGAAGTCTTCTTTAAAATTGTTTAGAATAAGTTTAGAGAGGACATTTTTTAACATTATTTAACATCCAGACCTTTCCTTCACTGCATTCACCTTTTCTTCGTGTCTTTATCTATACAGCTTTCCTTACATTCCCTAACCTCGCCTTACCTTCCTATTCCCTCCCCTAACTTACTCTTTTCCTTCAAAACAATCCTTCCATAGCTGTCCCCTTCACAACCTTTATATTCCCTACTTTCCCCTACTTACCTTTCCTCTGCCCTGCCTTTCCTTTTCCCTACCTTTCCCCTTCCATACTTTTTCATCTTTATCTTTTCTCTTTCTTATTTTCTCGTTCCACTTACCAACCTTTCCCCTCCTACCTTTCATCTTCTCTACCCAGTACCCATGTCCTTTTCCTTCTGTTTTCCTTTCCTTTTTTCCTTTTATCTTTTCTTTACTCTGTTTTTTCCCATTACATTTTCCCTTTTCCTTCCCATTTTCTTTCGTCATTTCCGTTTCATTAACTTGAAAAAGTATCACTTTGGAAGTCGCCTTGCTAAACTGTCTTTGACAGTTTTTTTAGGTGTTTTAACCCAAACTGCAAACTGATCTCAGACCTGAAGTGAGACTTAAAGTTCAAAATCGAAATTCAAAATCATGAATTTGGGTTGGTAGGACGACAAAAAATGTAAACAAAATTGAAATTCTACAGTTAACTAATTACTTGTTTAGGAACAGATTGAGGAAATAAAAATTAACTCTTTATCATAGAAAATAAGTAATCTTATTCAATTAAAAATTTCTTAAATCTCTCGGTATTTACAGAGATTTTCTGTAATTTGTATTGAAAGACAACATTTAAACAATTTGTAAAAATCTCCGAACAAATTCATAGAAACTAAGAAATTAAACATAATAATGAAAACGACATAATAGATTCTAGCATTGATTTTTTGGCAAATTTTTTTTGAGAAATATGTTTCTAAACATCTAATTATTTTACTATAGAAATTTTTACAATATTCGTTATTTTAACTGGTATATTCGTGGAATTAAGTTGGGGTTAAAGGTTGTTTTTCTAATGGATTGGTATGTAACTGGGACATTCATGAAATTAAATTGGTTTTAAGGCAGCGCACGGTCCCAGAAAGTGTCCTAACCTAATCCTGAAATATTCCGGTTTAACTGATACATTCTTTGGATTGATTTGGTTAAAGGTTGGGTTAACTAATATCCAATAAAAACTGAATAATTAATGATGCATTTTAACAGGATGCATAGTGGATATCAAGATCGCTACTGAAAACGGAAGCAACCCGGGCCATGCAGGAGGGCAGGGTTTAAATGGTGCACGGGGAATGTCAAGATTTCTACAGAGATGAAGAAGGTATTGTGCATATCAGGATTGCAGGACCAAGAGTATGCAGAGTAGATAGATTCAGATAGTTCGCGAATGTTACCTGATGTTTGACGGGATGAATAAGAGTGTAAAAAAATATAAGATTTAAAGTTTTGCACAAAATAAAGGGACTAAAAGGAGAAATTTCCACAGTCTGGATGACCAGGGGCTAGGTTTCGGAAGATGCAACGGTATAAGAAACAGAGAAATGCAGTAGATTTTTTAGAAACAAGATCCTTTTCATAGCTGCGGTTTTCAGCTGCAAAACTACCCATTTTTTTTCTGTGCGGATCCAGAATCCGGATCCGAATCCGCATCCGTATAATATTAAATTGATCCTAAGCACTGGCTAACGTGCCGGACCACCATCTTTGAAAGAGTCTGGTCCAATGGGTACTGTTAGTTATTCGAGCTATCAGATAGATAGATAAATAAATAGATAGATGGATCAATTGATTGATTGATTGATTGATTGATTGATTGATTGATTGATTGATTGATTGATAGATAAAATTCTAAAATTCTTTATTTAGGACATTGATAAGTACTTGAAGGACAACCAACGTTTTGAGGCAAACCTTCAACCTGGCGAAAAAAAGTTTCCCAATACTCAGGTAAATACCAGAAGTAAGAATTTTTATTCTAACGTGTAATGTGATTAGTTAATTATAATTGTAAACATTGGATCAATTGTGGTAATGTTAAAATGATCTGCCCTTAAAAATTAAATTTTAATTTTTTTACATTCTTTTAGTGTACAAATTTTGGAATATCTCTGCCAATTTAGAAGTTACAAAATGTTAGACCTCATTTTGAATATTACAAGACCAGACATTTTGGTATATTCCTAGAGAACGATTTTTGGCCCCCCCCAGGCCCCCCCCCCCCTCCTATCAATTTTGTACATGGATCTTACAGAAAGTGTCTCAACTTAACCTAACCCGTGGCCGCAGCGCTCGGCCCCCTAGCCCATCCTAGCCGCAGCGCTCGGCCCAGAAAGTGTCTTAACCTAACCCTAAATAATGCTAAATAAATACTAATTTGGTCATGTACAAAAATGATAGGAGGGGGGGGGCGGAGGGGCCTGGGGGGGATTCAAAAATCGTTCTCTAGGACAGACCACACATTTTCGATATTAATTCAATTAATGTAAAAATTTTGTTCATGAAAAAATGCTGCAAGAATCGAAGACGATATAAAAGTTTTCACTCAATTCTAATGTTTATTGGGGCATCTTGTAAACAAACAATTTTAAATGTTTTCAAATCGATAGTAATTAATATTGGGTTGGTTTAACACACAACTACACGCATGACTCAGGACACGGGGCTTTCCAGTCAATTAAACTGTTAGTCTCTTCCCTTCCCCCTCCAAACATTCCAACTATTTAGGAAAGTCCCTGTAGATGAACAGTGGAAGCTTGTAAAAAGTGTTCTACCTAACTACTGAAAATGGTACCATACTGAAGGAGAGATCAACGTCATCATTTTCACTCTTTTAGTCTTGTATCTCGTAAACTTTATACAACAGTATTTACCGTTTTTGTTTCATGATTTGCAGATATTAATAATTTTTAGTTTTCTATAAAGTCAAATAGCTTTGTCGTTCTATCTAATTACAATTTTTTTAATAATATACAGGGTGTCCCAAAAAACATGGGAATTCAGTGACGAATTGGATATCGTCTTTGTTATGAATTAGCATTGTAGTACCTAATTTCAAAAGCTATAATATTATTATGTCTGCTAGAGTTTATATTATGAAAATGGTAAAATACTGTAAAGGTGTGTCTATAATGTCTCTGCAAGATGAACAGTGAAGACAGACAGGTAAATACTCTGTTTGTATACTGTAATTTTCTTGTTTTACTAAGTACAACCGTATGCAGTCAAAACATAAACAAACAAAATGTGAACTTAGCAGACGAAACTCTTACAAATTACAGCTTTCTCAGTAGGTATCACTTTACTAAATCAAAGAATTATCTAAAAAGACGATATCGAATTCGTCACTGAATTCCCATGTTTATTGGGACACCNAAAAAAGAGGAAACACCTCAACTAAATCAAGTTTTTAAAATACGGAAACGCCTCAAAAATTTTGCGGAAATGCCTCAAAAATATTGGGAAATCCCTCAAAAATATTGGGAAATTCCTCAAAAATAATTGTCAGGTGAAAAGCGGAAACCCCTCAAAAATTTTAGGAAACGCCTCAAAATAAAGAGGAAACCCCTCAAAAACTGGGTTTTGAGGGATTTCCGTTTTTCTTGCAGAAATTGCGGAAACGTCTCAAAAAAACCGGTTTTTGAGGGGTTTCCGCTTTTTTTTGAGGCATTTCCGTGTTGAGACGTTTCCGTGTTGAGGCGTTTCCATAGCACCAAAATGGAAGTTTAGGGATAAAAAATGAAAGATTTGGTACAGAAAATTAAAATTTTGGGACAGTTAATGAGAGTTTTAGGACAAAAAATGGAAATTTGGAACAAAAGCACAAAACAATTGGGACAGAAAATAAAATCTTTTGGCTGGAAAATGAAGTATTTTGGTTGGGAAATGAAATATTTGGGATGGAAAATAATCCCCATGCGAAGAAAGGACTAGTGGGATTAAAAATATTTGAAAAGGGTATGGGACAGAAAATGAATTTTTTGGGATTAAAAATGGAAGTCTTAGGGATTGAAAATGAATTTTTGAAAAAAATAAGGAAATAATTGAGATAGAAAATGAAATTAATAACAGTATGTATGAAAAGGTTAAGTGGAATTTGAAATAATTTTCTGGGGTTTGGGATGGAAAATCCAGGTCATGAAAGGAATGACTAGTGAAATTTAAAATAATTGTTTTTATTTTGGGACAAAAAATCAAACTGTTGGGACTGAAAATGAAAGTTTCAGGACCAAAAATTATTTTTTTCTGGGATTAAAAATAACTTGGGATGGGACAAATAATCAATTTTTGGAATTATATTGACCCCTGGTTGTTTACATGTTTGAAGAACCCTTAAAAAATGGATTTGATAAGATTGAATTTTAAAATCATCTCACTGATGGCACAACTAAGTCCAATCTATTTTCTTTAATGTCTTTCACAGATTATTAAATTGGTTGTATTTTTAGGTCACAGGGGTCTCATTCAGGACTTAAAATGCAGAGGTGTGGCAAGCTGTTGTAAGTTTTATTTAATTATTCTTTTATCACTGTATTATTTTTAGATTTTTTTAAAATATTCATTTTGACTGTAAATTCTTGGATTTCTTCAACCTATAATAACACCTGGGTATCCAAGGGTTCCTTCAAAAAATGTCAGCCCATTCAGTCAAGCAATTTGGCCTGCTGTAGGGAACACTTATACAAATGTCTTCCTTTTATTATATAGATGAGCAACTTCACAGAGTTCTTATTGCACCTCTGATTTTTTTTTCGGTGAATTTCAGTTTGGCTGAAAATAAGAAGAAATATATGGAGAAAATTAAAGATGTTAATGTCTGGATTGGGCTACCAGAATTTTGAATGATGGCGGACTATCTTAGATGTCCCATTGCTGTTCTTTATCCAGATAAGAAGGAACTAATCTATGACAAGTTTTATTGGGATGTTTATGAACCAAAATTGGATTACTTTAATGAAGCTCCCCTGACCAAACCATTTTCAGGTAAAATGTTTAAAAAAAAACAAAAACAATTGACTTCTACAGTCCAAAATAAATTTTTTGATGGTTTTCGTGGTAGTAGAACTGATTTGATTGAATCATTGAATAGTTTCTTTACTGAATAACAATAAAAGATTTTTTTATTATAAAGATCTAATAAGATTATGTATGAAACAATTTAGCATTTTTTTGATGAATACATGTGTCCTAAGGTTTTCTTTTACCCAATTGAAAACCATTTTTTTATTTTTTCACACTTAAATTCATTCAGATTTGTTTGGTATAAAGATCTAATAAGATTATGGATGAAACAATTCAGCATATTTTAGATGAATACATGAGTCTTTATGTTTCTTTCTCAAATTTAATAAATTTTTTTTTGGCTTTTCACATGATTTTTTTAATAGTAAATTACCAACTGATTTTTAATTTTTAACATTTTTAAATTTATAAACCTGGTTTATATTTTGATGAAGCATTGCTCTGCAAAAATGATCTGACAATTTGATGAAAATGTTCTACCAATAGTATGATGTTAAACTGTTAGGGTTTGAAGATAACTCCATCTGAGTGCATCAACTTGTGTGGACATGGTAAGTTAACCTTCACTTTCCTGAACCATAACCTTTGACCGTTAGTTAACTGTTAGTTATCTCAATTCTATTATTCAAGGCCCTGATGAATGACATTTCAGAAATTGTTAATTTACCAACCTAATAATGCTTAGTTACATTAAGTTTGTCATTAATGGTTATGTAACGATTTCAAAAATCAAAACTTTGCTGTTTGTGAACAGAATCTTCAGTTAATTTTCAAAAGTGTTCTCCCGGCATTTGAAGTGTTCTCCTGGCATTCAAACTGGAAAACATCTACCCTCTACTGTGCTGCCTAACACCTGCCCCTTTGATGGCCCCCCAGCAGCTAGGGCTGGGCCTACCAGCATCAGCTGAAATGTCAGAAACACACACCCTGCCACTTCAACACCTCCAAGTATACTAACATGAGCTCAATTCAAAAGGTCCTAGCTCTGTACCTGGGAGCTGTAAAGACTTGAGATTCTGTTGAGCTGAAGCTATGGTATCGAGAAGGAAAAGAATTTTTTACCTTTTCCAGATCCCTGTTGAACAGGAAGAGAAAGAAGAGAAAGAGAACGAGGAGACAATTTAAACCTTTCTCTCAATCCATTTCCGGGCCCCTGGAAACCCAGCAGTCTAAGGTGAGGTCCCAAGAGTCTCCCTGGACAGTTGTAAACTACCAGAATAATCCACAATCCCAAGATAGATTCCAGGAGAATACCAAGTTCCTTCCAAGTTCCGAGGACAGGTCCCAGAGAAACCACACTAGTTTCTGAATTCACTTTCAAAACTGCAGTTTTAAGGTTTCGTGATTTTTTTTGTTCTGCTCGATGTAAATTTTTTCAAAAATTTTAATGAAATGGTCCTAAATCCCTGGCAATAGCTCTAATTCCCAGAAATTTTTCACTGATTATTATGGTGAAAACAAAAACTGAAAAAATTGAATGAAAATGTCATTTTTTTACGTTTTAGTTTTGATGTGGCTCTGATCAGCTGATACTTTTTTCAAAATGGAACAAGACTCCCGAGACCAAGGGTTTTATCTCCGCACACGGGCCAGGATCTATTTTCCGCACAGTCGCCATCTTTCTTAACAAGCTTTGCATTGTGAAAATTTTGTAAGTTTATATTTGTGTGCAAAAGTGTGAATATATAGTGACAAATTGTCCGTTTGTTATCCCGTAGTGTTGTAGTGAAGCTGATCAGACAATTAAAAAGTTTTTAAAAAGTGTGAATAACTATTGTTTTTCGTTTTTTTAAAACCATCATAGGGGAACCTTTTTATAGTGATGTTTTGCCCCCCACCCTGTAAAAAATGTACATGAAAATAATTTGTCAAGTGTGGTTGCAGCGCCAGGCCCATTAGTGTGTCTTATAGCCGCGGCGCCCGGCTCAGAAATTG